TTTGACCATTGCACTTGTTTTCCACTTCCTCACAATAGTAGTTAGACCATAAAAGAGGACCAAAATCCAGATCATGCACTTTCTTTTTATTTTTGGTACCAGGGGTTGAATTTAGGGGCACTCGACCACTGAGCCACATCCCCAGCCATTATTTGTATTTTATTTAGTGACAGGGTCTCACTGAGTTGCTTAGGGCCTCGCTGTTACTGAGGCTGGTTTATGAACTCAGATCTTCCTGCCTCAGCCTCCGGAGCCACTGGGATTACAGGCGGGCTCCAGCGTACTGGGCATACACTTTCTTAGTTGAACAAATTTTTTTGTCATTTCAGGAGGACAGTGATTTCTCTCTCTGTGTATGTTAAGAAAAGAGAGTCAATTATTACAAGAACAGTTCAACTATTCAAAAGTTTAGAAGCATACAAATAAAGACGCTGATGTCCATATTCTAACCTTTGGGACAAAGCTTTTCATGGATGTAAGCAATATTTCCACCAGGGATATATTTCTAAAAGGGTGGGGGAGGAATAGATCTGTCACAAAATTGGCTGTGTTGATAAAGTTAAAATTTTTCCTGAAGCCCTTTCTTTGGAGGATTAAGACAAGGCCAGTGAGTACTATGTAATCAGATCTAATATATAATTTCTCCCTTAAAGTGTCTTTTCTGTGTTAGGTCTAAAATCATTATTAAAAGAAAAAACATTTCAAGAAATGGTTTAAGTTTTGGGATAGAGGGCCTTAATTTTAGAAACTTCAGTGCTAATCCAATTGCTGTAGTATCTTTTAGCAAATTGACTCTACAAATGAATAATCCATCCTATTTATTCATTAGCTTGTTTGAGAAATATTTATACTAATAAGAGCTTAACAGATGACTAAAGAACACAAGGAAAACATTTTGGTCAAAACACTTAAGAAAACATGCAAAGAATCTTTAGCTAATGTTTAACATTAGCAATAAGTGACTTTTCTGTGCCTCTCTGGAAAACCATATAAAAATCAGCAGCCCTGGCCTGTTGTATTTTTTGTGAATCTTCAATTTCCTGGAGATGCATAATTGAAGTCTTTCTGTTAATACTAAGACATGAAAGCAGTTATGATCTATTATAGTTTTATTTTCATTGCCAGTGAAAAGTCACGTAGAAATGCAAGGTGCACCCAGGTTGATCTTTGGTTAGTCTTTTGCTTGGAACAAATTCAAACTAGACACTATTATGAAACAGTGCCAAATAAAGGTTAAAATCCAGATGCCACTATTTATGTAGAAACAAACTTAATAAGAGACTCAGCTGCTCCTTTATTGACAAGTGAAAAAAAAAATTTTAGAAATATTTTTAGCACTCTTAAAGATTTCTTTGCCATGGGAAATAAGTGGGTATCATATTTTACCATAAAACACATAGTAATCATTTTTTTTTTCTTTTTGGGTATAAAATACAAAGTATCAGAATGACTCAATCATAGTAATTTCTTGGTTTAAAATGTTGTAAAACTGCCAGCTCTGGAAGCTGTGGCAGGAGGATTGCGAGTGCAAAGCTAGCTTCAGCAACTTAGCATGGCCCTAACAACCTGGCTGAGACCTTGTTTCAACATAATATATAAAAAAGGGCTGAGGATGTAGCTCAGTAGTTAACCCCTTCCCCACTTTAGTCTCTGATGGGCGCGCGTGTGCGCGCGCACACACACACACACACAAGCAAATCTTGTAAAATATTCTCATTACATTTAGAATAAAATTAAACTTCCTTGCTGGGGTATATGGCTCATGGGAATCTCTCCGTTCCCTTCAGCCCAACCTAATCTCTTATTCCCACTTAACTGGTCCCTAGTCATAAAACTTGTTGTTCCTTGAATATTTTAACTTATTCCCATATCAGGGGCTTTATATTTGCTGTTGCCTTCTTAATACTTATGTCTCAGATCAGTATCTCCTTAGGGGCTTTTGATCACTTATTTACAATACTTTCACATTCTTCTCCCCACTTTTCCTCTATCTCATTATGCTGCTTTATTTTCTTTACAGTACATAGCCTTATCTGAAAGCATATCATTATTTTGTCTCCATATTTTAATCTTTTCTTTTAAAAACATAAATTTTAGGGAAGTTGAGGTTGTCTTATTGACTCAGGTATCCAGTTTGCACATAAAAAGTGCTCACACTTAGTAGATGCTCAAAAAATATTTGTTGAATGAATGCACCAATAAGAATTACTGCAGTGAAAAAAAAACATTCATTTGTCCATGAGTGCTTTTTTAAAAATTGCATTTTGGGTCTTTAAAAATATTTCTAAAAATAATTTCTATTCCAGTTATCCAGTACTTTATCAACAAATCACCCTAATGCTGAAGACCTTAAAAGAGTAATCATTTTATCACCTGTGAGACAGGAAATTTGAATGAGCCTTGACTAGGGGATTTTTCTGCTCTATGAGCTGCTGACTGGGGTTACTCAGCAGAATTCCAGCAGTTGTTGGCATGGTGAGTCCAAGATGGCTTCCTTCACAGGTGTAGTACCTGGTGGAAATGGCTTGAGGTTGGGCTCAGCTGCACCCTTCCTACTTTACTTGGCAGCTCAGGGCTCCAAGAGGGCAAGGTAAGAACTCTACATTTTCTTAAGGCTTAGTTCTGGAACTGGTTAAGGTCATTTCCACTTTGTTCTTTGGTTAAATCAATCATAGGCCAGTTCTGGTTCAAAAGAGAAGTATAATTTTTAATCTGACACAGTTCTGAGGGTATTTTCAAGGAAACATTCCTAGGAAAATGATCTAACAAATTTACAAAGTATCTTTCAGAAGTGACAATGAACATTTGTAAATTGGATTAGATCTAGAAATTATAGGCAAAAAATTTATGTGTTGTATATGCTATGTATATTTTTCTAGCAAGTTGGTTCATAGATTTTTTTTAATTGATTTCTCAAAGGATCTAATGACATTGGCCTCCTCCTTAATCAAGTTTTTCCCTAAGCAACATTGTGCAGGAGATGTCTATTTCAGGAACTTTCTCTTTTTATAACACCTAGCATCATGTAACAATGATGGTAATAATTGCTGACTTAAAAAACAATTATTACCTACTTTTGTTTCAGAAACAGTTCTGTAACACTTTACAAAGTGGTTCTATTACCTTATTTTACGGATGACGAACTCAGGCACAATAACTTGTCTATGATCACATAACTAGCATATAGTGAGGCTGAGAACCTAGCATACTAGCATAGGAGGGACTCAAGCAGTGAGACTTTGTTCATTGGTGACAGTTGACCTGTTTATAAATTGGGAATAGTAGAAGCTATAGGGGAAAAATGAACTAATTGAGGCTGGTCCACAGCTGCAAACTTGGCACATTTTAAAATAGGTGCTTAATATATACTAGCTCTTCTATTCCAGGGGAATTTGCTAACTTTCATTGCAGAGACATTGGTGTCATAAAGTGCAAGACCCAACAAGGGGTGGGTTGAAAAAGATTTGAAAACCTGGGGCCTAAGCAGAGATATTGCTCACCCCACTAAACACTCTGATGGTCTCCCTTTTTCTCTCAAAATTGTATGTAAATGTTGCATTCTGTTCCACAACTCAATACTTATCTGTGAATATAAAACTGGCTTCTGTCAAAGCTCTCCCATCATGACTCTTTTTTTTTTTTTCCCATCATAAGTTTAATTAGTTTTAAAGATTGCCATCCCATGCATTATAAGTGCTGGCACTATTAAACAGTGATGCCACTCTTTTTTTTTTTTAGTTACTTTATTTATTTTTGCATTACAATTCTTCATTCAGTGATGCCACTCTTGATGTGTACCCGATGCTATATAAAACAATAACAACCATTTATACAAATATGTAAACAAACTCACTTTCTATTCTTTTCCCCCATGAAACCAATATAGCTATTCCATTTTTCTCCATATCCTTTCATCTTAGTTAATACTTTATTGGGCTTATAATTCTTTTGTTTATTGTGTCTCGTTTTTCTGTTTCAAAATATATACAAAAATTTAATTTTACCTTTGGCCATAAGGCTCTATAATTGGCTCTTCTATGGGGATGCACCTTGGTGTGCCCTGGCTTCATACACACCACTGCTCTTGGTGGGATTCAGCAGAGCAGGAGCAGTGCAGGTTTGGAATTAAAGGAAATTCCAAATTAGGTGTAGATTTTTTCCTCTGGTAGCTTTGGAACAAATTTAGACCCATTAACATGTTTGAGTTTCTTATTTTTCATTTATAAAATGGGGTGAGTTGTGGTGACCAGATGATTTCACAAAATGCTTTTTGAAGTATACAATATTAAAGTTGTCTTTTAGCCTGGTGGTCTTCAAACTGTGGGTGTTCTCTTATTAATAGGCAAACAAACAAAAACTCCAATTCAGTGGACCAAACATTAAAATAATAACAACAACAAAATATCAGATGTTGCTTGCTTCGGAGTAAGTTCCCCCACCCCAAACCCTGGTACTGGGGATTGAACCCAGGGCTGCTCAACCACTGAATTCCAGCCTCAGTTCTTTTAATTCGAGACGGTCTGAATTGGCGAATTTCTGTCATTTGGCTCAGGATTAGAAGTGTGGCTACTGCCCTCAGGCTAAGGCAGATATTTACACACCCAAGGTGTTTCTTTATTTTTTGGTTCTGGGGATTAAACCTCGAGGGGCTTCACCACCGAGCCTAGTTCCCAGCCCTTTTTGAGGCTGGGTCTCACTAAGTTGCTTAGGGCCTCGCTGTGATGTAAATTGCTGAGGCCGGCCCGAACTTGTGATCCTCCAGCCTCAGGCTCGGGAGTGCTGGGACTGGAGGCGTGGGCCGCCCGGCCGGCCCACTGTTTCTTTCTACCGGTGATAGTACAAACTTTTGGAAGACTGTAGAGCAGCGCACCTTCCAGAGGTGTCACTGGGAGGAACCTGGGTACTCGGGACTGAGAGCAAATCCATCCTGTATCGCCCATCTGGGCGCCTCGGCCAAGAAATCGCGGACGGGAACCCACGCGCTGACCACGACCCGATGACCCTTCTCCAGGGCAGGCCCGGCCAGCCCCGGGAGCCACCTGGACGGCGTCGCACCTCCCGCGTCGGGGCGGGGTCAAGAGGAAGCGCGCGCTCTTGACGTCATTGCCGGGCGCCGGTGCCTCCGCTTCTGCCACTTCGCGGGAGAAGTTGTTGGCGCCAATGGATCCCGAGTCCCGATAACGGATTCCCCAGCCCGCCGGCCTTCCAGCCTGCTCCTTAGTCCTGGGGCTGCGATGGTGAGCCCCGGGGGGAGGCCGTGCAGCTCGGGGGCCTGGGAGCCTTTGCAGGCCGGGGGCGGATGGAGTGCTCCTGGGTGCGGCGTGGGGGAGGACGGCGGTGGGTGCTCGGCGGGGGAGCCCAGGCACCCGCGGGGCCGCACTCCCTGCTCTGGCTGCAGACTTCCCTGGGAATGCGGGCTGCGGCGCTCTCCGTCGCCCGATGCGCGGGGATTTGGGTGCTACGCGGCACTTTCACTCTTTTTTCAACTCTGGGGGAAGGGAAGAAGGAAGAGTGGTGATGATTTGGGGACGGAGCGTTAAAGTTAATTTCCTGTTTACTGTTGCTCCAAAACTCCGTTTAAGTGCTTCCTGGAGCGCTGATTTCAAGATGTGGGTCAGGAGGAAGAATGCAACAAACTTTCCTTTCTTAAGAGTAAATTGCCTGAGGCCTTCAAGTTTCATGATGAGCAGCTCCCCGCAACTCTCTTCTCAGTCTTTTTGAGTCTCAATGGCTATAAGGGGAAGACGGTTCATTTTGTTTGAATGTTCATAGGAGTTAAACGGATAGCACAGTTTACCAGGAAAAAAACAAAAACGCAAAGAGTAGAAACAAATGTACTGTATTTGACAGCTGTCATCCCTTATCACCTGATGTTAAAACAGTGATCTTAAACCCCCCCAAACTTAAGTGCATAATTCTGTATAAAGCATTTCAAACGAATTGAGAGTACAATAGCAGCCGGCAAGAGACATTCATCATGGTATGGCAGTGTATACAAATATGTGCTTGAAATATTTCTAAAGGGTAAATTAAGCTGTTCTATTAAGACAGAAGATACTTACCAATCATATGTAATTTTTAAAGTCATTCTTAACCTTGTCAGAATGCCAGGATTCTGAGGAAAAAAGTTTCATGCCAAATTGGGAAACTTTGCAGCCCTTTGTGTTTTTTCTCAAAAAAGGATATAATAATGATGATAATAGCCACCCTGAACCAACCATCATCTTCAGGTCAATATGTGAGCTGTTTTGCTTTTAAATACTTTTTTTTTTTTAAAAAAATATTTTTTTAGACATTGATGAACCATTATTTTATTCATTTATTTATATGTGGTGCTGAGAATTGAACCCAGTGCTTCGCAAATGCTAGGCAAGTACTCTACCACTGAGCCACAATCCCAGCCCTTAAATACTTTCTTTTCATATTGACCCATAGCAGTTCAGTTTTACAGATGGTAAAGAGACTTTTTAAACAATTTGTCATACAACTATGGTTGAACTAGAATTAGAACCTAGGTGTTTCTGGCTACTGCATTTTACTACCTCCCTAAAATGATTATCATTACACTTTGGATTTGGGGAATCATGGTAGGGTGGAAAATTGATGAGATTTGAAGTCTTGAAGGTGAAAATGAGATGTTGTTTTAGTTTAGTAGTTTATAGTTATATGGTCTTGAGCCAGTTAAGTGGCTTAACTTTAGTCTCTATTTCTTTATCTGTTTAAAAAAAAAAAGGTGTGGGGGGGATAATAGCTATCCCTCCAATTTTTTTTAGGATTAAACAAGATAATATATATATATATATATATCTTCCATTTTGGAGCATGGTATGTAGTAGGTAATATACAACTGCTTAATTTCCAATAACTTGTTTCTTTCAGAAGGGACTCTGAAAAAAATACATAAGATTTTAAGGGAAATTGTAGATGCTTCTGATGTCAATTACAATGAACCAACAGCTTGTATGGTTAATTTCTGATCATTTAGGTACTTTTAAATTTGGTTCTTTCTTTCTTTAGAACTTCTGTTCTTGATGCAGTTGAAAAACAAACCTTTTTGTAGAAAAGAAATGATCAAGTTGGTCAATTTTACTGTTTGCTAATGGGAAAAGGTTCTAGAAAGTAGTAAGAATTTTGTATTTTGGCTTTTGACTTAGCTCTCCAGCCTCTAGTACAAAAAAGTCTAGCAAAACCCTAGGCTAAAATTCTATTCCACAATTTTTTTTTTTTATGCATCTGTGTACAAGTTATATTATAGGACAGTAGTTCTTAAATTCTATTTGAGTCAGTTCCCTTTGGTAAATGTGAATGGCATGCAACTTTTCTGCCCAGAGAAATACACATAGGCCTGTAACATATCATCTTAGCTTATTCACAGACAAAAGGTAATCTGGGAGCTCCATTTCCCCCCCAGATATTTTCCAATCAGAAGTTACTAATAAAGGAATAAAATACTGTGTCCACATAATGGAATACTGTTCAGCCACTAGAAAAATAAGAAAATTATATACCCTGATATAAAATAATCTCCAAGATATAAATTCCTCTGGAAAGAAACACAAGGAATTAACTGGTAAGATTAATTGTTGTCAGAGATGGGAAGTATGTGTCTGAAAGATATATGTTTTGAACCATGTGAATATAAAAGGAATAGAAATGAAGTCTCAAAGGAATAAGAAATGAGTCATGTAAACAATTTGAATTGCTATGAGAGTTAATAGTTTGCTCAAAATGTGAATAAAACCCAAGAGATGCTACTTTTAAGAAATCAGCATATAGGTTGACATGGCAACACACACCTGTAATCCCAGTGACTCAGGAGGCTGAGGCAGGAGGGTTGTAAATTGGAGGCCAGACTCAGGCAGGCAGTTTAATGAGACTTTCAAAATAAAAGTTTAAAAAAAGGGCTGGAGATGTAGCTCAGTGGTAGAGTGACCCTGGATTCAATTCTCCAGTACTGGGTGGGCGGAGTGGGGAATCAGCATATGTCATTAATTGGTTGGCATAATTAAAAATATACATAAGGTTGAATTAAACACATCAAACTTAAGGGGCAGCATTTTTGAAGGACTGTCAGGTCACTTTAAATACATTGTAATCTCAGCTGCTTTGTCATTGTTTGCTGTGTGAAATTCTTGCTTCCCTGGACAGTGTTGTGATCCCATTGTAATGTAATTTTGTCATATATCCTAGTACTTGGTCTATGAGGCCCCTACCTGTCCCTCTGATTTTACGTCTCAGTTTTGGGTGGTATGAAGTATAGAGGTCAAAGTTTATTCTTGGGCATGTGGATATTTAGTTGTTCTGGCACCATCTTTTGAAAGGGCTATTCATTTCCCATTGAATTATCTTGGCACAGTTGGCAAAAATCAGTTGACTCTAAATGTGATTTAGATTTGTTGGATTCTTAAATTCTATTTCTTTGGTCTCTGTCTATTCTAATGTTGCAGTGCACTATCTTTCTTAATGTGGCTTTTTGATAATTTTTGAAATCTTTTGGAAGTAAGAGTCCTCCAACTTTTTTTTTTTTCCTCCAAGATTGTTTTGGCTATTCCAGTCTCTTAAATTTCCATATGCATTTTAGAATAAGCAGAGTAGCTAGGATTTCGATAAGAAATGTGTTGAAACTGTAGATCAATTTGGGGAATATTGCCATCTTAAATATATTGTCTTCTGATCTATGAACATGTAATGTCTTCCTATTTGTTTAGATCTTTGATTTTTTTCAAATAACATTTTGAATTTTACACTTTTTCTTTTTTGTTTTTGGCAGTGGGGTGGTGGGTACTGGGGATTGAACCCAGGGGTGCTTTACTACTGAGCTATATCCCCAGCCTTTTTGATTTTCTTATTTCGAGACAGGGTCTTGATAAGTTGCTTAGGGCCTTGCCTAATTACTGAACCTGGCCTCAAACTTGCAGTCTTTTTGCCTCAGCCTCCCAGGTTGCTGGAATATAGGTGTTTGCCACTATGCCTGGCTTACACTTCTTTTTGTTAAATATATTCCTATAATTTATTATTTTTGGTGATATTTTAAATGAATTTTTTTTTTCCTTTTTAGAGATTTGGCCTCATATTGAGGGCCTCATAGGTACTAGGCAAGTGCTGTACCACCAAGCTATACTCCCAGCCTTTGGAGTTGTTCATTTCAGTTTTGGATTGTTCATTTGCAAGAGTATAGAAATATGGTTGAGGGCTGGTGATATGGCTCAAGTGGTAGCGCGCTCGCCTGGCATCTGTGAGGCACTGGGTTCCATCCTCAGCACCGCATAAAAATAAAATAAAGATATTGTGTCCACCTAAAGCTAAAAAAAAAAAAAAATTAAAAAAAAATAAATATGGTTGGGGCTGGGGATGTGGCTCAAGCGGTAGTGTGCTTGCCTGGCATGCGTGCAGCCCGGGTTCGATCCTCAGAACCACATACAAACAAAGATGTTGTGTCTGCCGAAAACTAAAAAATAAATAAATAAATAAATATGGTTGAATTTTGTATATTGATCTTGTATTCTTGTTGAACTCATTTATTCTGATAGTTTTATAAAGGATTTCTTATGATTTTCTATGTGAGTGTGTTGGTTAGCTTTCCATCACTGTGACAAAATACCTGAGATAAACAACTTCCAAGGAGGAAACATTTATTTTGGTTCATGATTTTAGAGGCTTCAGTCCACAGTTGGCTGGCTCCATTGCTTTTGGGCCCATGGCAGGGCAGAACATCATGGTGCCTGGGGTACATGGTGGAACAAAGCTGCTTACCTCCTGACCACAGGAAACAAGGAAAGGGGAGAAATTGGAGTCCCAGTATCCTTTAAGGGCATATCCCCAAAGACTTACCATTCTCCCATTAGGCCCCCCTCCTAGAATTTCCACTACCTCCCAGTAGTGCCACAGACTGGCAACCAAGCCTTTAACTCAGGAAATTCTGGGGGACACTCTGGATATAAACTTGAGAAACTTAAGATGAAAAACAGTCCTCTTTGCAGAAAATAAATGGCGAAGGACTGGGGCTGTAGCCCAGTGGCAGAGCACTTGCCTAGCATGTATGAGACACTGGGTTTGATCATCAGCACCACATAAAAATAAACAAATAAAATAAAGCATGCTGTCCATCTACAACTACAAAAAAAAAAAAGAAAAAGAAATGATCAAGTTGGTCAGTTTTACTGTTAATGGGAAAAGGTTCTAAAAAGTAGTAGGAATTTTGCATCCTCCGGTATTTAGTTAAGCCCTCCAATGTCCA